AACAGAAATCAAAACAAATCAGGAACCCATTAGAGTCAGTCCGTAGGTGCAAAAGTAGACCGATTAAGGAATAGCTTCTAGTCTTGCTTTGATGATGGCCCAAAGTCATGAGGACAGGATGGACTTCTCTTTCTTCTTCCACTTCTTCATTTGAGTCAGGATTTGCGCTTCCAAAGTGATTCTTCATTTTCAGCTTGTCCTCAGTGAGTTTTCAGTGGCCAGTGCTGAACATCACCAGTATGGCATGAGCATATGTTAAAGATCACCCAGTCTGTGTAATCCAATCTGCATTGCCAAACCTGGTCAAAAAGAAAACCATCACAAGTTCTCAGAAACATTAGCCAACAGAGGAAAAGGGCATCGGTGTGTCATGTCCAGGAACACAACGCAAACTAGTGTTTATTTGTGTTTCTTTTGGGCATGCTGACCCAGCTCACCTCTGGGGAGCCTCTTTTAAGGTCATGGCCACAGAACAGCAGCATACACCTTACACTGTGAGTTTGCCATCTCCCTAACCCACAATTCTTTGACTTTCTATGGCAGATGACTCTGGGAAATTCTTCGTTGGACTGAATTTATTTTTTTCTGTAAGAAGAAGATGATTTGGGGAATCCAGTCACCTATGTAATTAGATGTCATTACATATAGATAATTATATGCAATACTTTCCACAATCGATCTAGAAATTTATGAATTCTCCTTAAAACAGCATTTATCCCAGGTCCATACTATCATTGGCTTCTTTTATGTATGATGAAGCATTTTTTAATTAGCAAGAAATTCATTATGATTACATCAGTAGTTTTACACAGTTGGGTTATATTCTAGTGCAAAGGTCATGAGGATTTTCCACTATGAAACTGGCAGGTTTTAAAGTTAGAGGTCTTGTCTTTACTTAATTATATTTAATCATATGATTGGAAAGTTGCAAAATTCAGTGATTCCCAGTGGGCCTTCTGTTTCTTCAACAAACGAGTGAAATGCTCTTTGGTTGGCAGCCACTCAAAGTATATTAAACTGAAGAGTACTTTATCATTATTCTTCTAAGACCTTGGAATAAATAAAATTCACCTCATAAACTGCTCCTCCAAGGGTACAACAGTTTTGTAATTGCATGCATTTAAAAAGCCAACGTCTAAAATTAATTTTCCTGTAGCGTGTCACGTACTGAAACAAGAGGGAAAAAAAAGCTAGAAACCCATTACAACTGTGTGGCTATTCATAGTGATTGTGGAGGGTGGATGTGGCTTTCAGCACATGCCACGGTGAAAGTGTCTGTTTTTTAAAAACATAATTACATGGGTCTAAAGCACCTTTGCAAAATCTCTGGTGCTCCGATAGTCTGAACTTTGGTCTCTCTGCCTTAGCCTTCTTTTTAATGGATGTTGATTTCAATTGAGGAGTGTTGGCTCTTTGTTTTTCAAATTTGTCCTTGATGTGTGAGGCGGATAGACCGAGCATGAACGCTTTCTGGGATGAAACTATCTACAGTCCATTTAAATGGTCAAATTGGTATGACCATCCCTTGAGCAATTAGAGCAGTAGATTCATTTGATAGGCTTTACACCAGTTCCCGTATGCTGTTAGCTATGTGATATGCCATCATCACAGCATTCAATATTTATGGAAGCTGATGTGAAATAGATGCTAAAATGAGCCATGAGATGGTATATGTCCCTTAGGAATGGAAGCGTAAACAGTGGGCTAGTTGCAAGACTTCACATCCTTTCCTCACGGTAATCTTGACCTGCAGGGTTGGTGTGATTCGTTGAGAGGAGTGGTGCTCTTCTGAAAGTCCAGCCTAGTTGGAATTTGTAGTTTCTCATTGCCCTTGCAGAACTTACTCTGTTTTCTGCTTTAAGTCAGTCAGTTACCTGCAATATAAGCTGCAGAGAGGAGTAAATAAAGGACAGGCCATAGGAGAGCCGGTGAAGTTTGTTCCTTTTTGAAAGGCTTATTAACATCATTGTGCTCAGTTAATTGAGGATTGTCTATTCAGGCTGCAGTGGCAGAATACCATAGACTAAATATCTTACGCATATTAGAAACTTATTCCTCATTGTTCTGGAGTGTGTGAAGCCTAAGATTGGGACTTTGCAGATTTGGTGTGTGATAGGGCCCATGTGCTCTTGATGGCACATTCTAGTTTCTAAAGTCCCCACCCAGGGCACTAGAATTTCAGCATATAAATCTGGGAGTAGTGGCTCTATCTGTAATCCCAGCACTTGGGAGACTGAGGCAGTATGGTTGCCATGAGTTAAGGCTAGCCTGGACTATAGTCAGAATGTCTCAAAAACCCAACCCAACAACAGCAACCACCCTGAAAACCAAATCCCCAAAATTTCAACATATAATTAAAATACTTATTTATTTACTTATTTATATTACATTGTGTGTGTGTGTCATGGTGTGTGTGGAATCAGGGGATAATTTTTGTGAGTTGGTTTTCTCCTGCCACCAAGGGTTCCAGGGCGTCAAGTTCAAATTGTCAGTATAGCATAGCAAGTACTTCTGCCGGCTGAGCCATTTCATCAGCCCAACGTAAAAACTTTAGAGGATTCAAATGCCACACCACACCACACCACACCACACCACACCACACCACACCCAACTAAACAAACAAACAAAAATCTCCAAGATTTCAACATAGACATTTTAAAGAACTCAACACTCAGGCTCTATCAAGAGTAGTGGCGGAAAACAGCCACAGCCATTGCCAAGCGTGCTCACGGGGGGACAAGGTCAGCAATGCAGATTGATAACAATGGATAGAACTCAGTTAAGAAAGATAAGGGGGAAATGAAGCCCGTTTGAAACATCACACAGCACAGTTTCTAGTTGACGCCTGTCATTTATCTTGGGTTTAAATTCTGTGATCAAAGAGTCTCTCAGCTAGTGAGAAAACTGAGGAGTACAAAGTATGCACTCGCTGTTTCCTGCCGATGGCTTATTTCTGGGTAGCACTGACCTGATGCATATACTGTGGACACTTCTACCTTGTCAATATTGATCTTAAGCTAAGAATTAAGACACATATAATAACATGGTTCATATAACAACTATCACAGCATGTTGAAAGATTAAGTGAGCAAGCAGGAAAAGATGTTACTCGACGTTAACAGCATCATAATAATCATATGTTTTTTTGAAGTAACCCAGTTACTTTAATTGCTTATTATTATTTTGGTTATAGCCATAAAATACTGTAACTATGTGATGTAAAATTGTCATTTTCCCCCTAGCTCCTTCTGTTTCTCTGAAAATAATTCCAACCAAAGAGGAAGAAAATGTCACCTCAAACACATAACACACTTGGGGAGGGGCATAATAGATGTTTCTCATTCTGTTTTGAAATGTGGTTCAACTACTTCTATAGAAATAAACTGGGTCCAGTTTTGAAGATTTAGAATCTCTTTGGTGGTGTTGCTGGATTTTAAACTGTTTTTAAGTTTTTTTTATTATTTTGAGAATTTCATACCCAAGTACTATATTTACATCATTTTTGCCCCTCCCTTTCCTGCTTCCAACTCTTCCAGTGTCTCCCCTACTCCTTCTCAACGTCATGACTTTTTTCTGTATATGTGAATCCTACTGAGTCCACTTAGCTTTGCTCACATGTCCAAATGTTCAGAGCTGACCAATCCTGAGGACTTTTAAACTCTAGAGGTAGAAAGGTGAACATGGCTGTTTTAGGTGGGCTTAATATACACGGTAAAGGAGACTCTAATGACTGAGAGGTTGGAGACAGAAGTTGCCATTGACATATAGGGGTTGCCTGGCCTTGAGGATCTTGTAGGTGGAGTGTGGAGGGATATGGTCAAACCCTTCTGAGTCAGATAGGTGTTGGGTGTGATAAAAATCCTAAACTCTTCTTCAGCACTGTGGTTGATCTCTTGGTGTGTTTCACTCGTGGTCCTCTTAGTGAGTTTCGTCCCCTCCCTGGGGGTTGACCGGAGTTCTATAAATAATACCTTCTGCAGAGCTTCCTCTCACCCTGCCCTTTGTTCTCATCTGCAGTGAGTTAGGTGAGTGTTTAGCTTGTTCTCGGAAAATGTTTTTCAATCATTAAACCCCTGGGTGAAAAATGTAGGAAAACAAAATTTAACCCCGTCGTTACCGGTCCAACATCGTTCAGAGGTTTGATGGGAAAGGCGGAAGAATGTTGGTGATAGCCGTAGTGAGGCATCTGATTCCTTTAGCTGCTTAGGAGAGTCTGTGTGATATGATACATGTATTATAAAGGCTTCCAAATGTGTTCTTTTTTTCCCCTCAAACTTAAAAACAAATGCCTTTGCTTTCTCTGTTTTCAAAATGTCTACATGTCTTAGAAAGCAGAAGCTGTGGATGAGGGCTGTTTGTCCTGATGCAAAGGTTACTAGAGGATGTATTATCATCACAGTGAGTTTGTGGTCCGCTGGGCTTGCTCATTTTAAACATGAGGAGCTTGCCTTCAAGGGTAAAAATCACAATTAGCTTCCTAGTGAGAGTGACATAAGCCAGCTGAGACAGGGACATCAAACGAAGACATGACAAAGCCTAGTCCTCGTTAAGCATCAACAACTGGGCATTTTCCATTTGAGATGAGTATCAGTTCATTGCTGCTCCTCCATCTTACACAAACCTACCTTGTAAGTTCATGACAGACTGTCCATAGTGGTGTTAGCTTTATAATTACAGGATGGACCTACTTGGAGAATTTTGAGACATATGTTTTTCTTATCTAAAAATCACCTATATAACTATTCCTAGGGATTTCATGGTTACACGGAGGTCGGGGGGGGTGCTTCGAATTCTTTTGGTCCAGTTTTTCTTAAGAGAAGGAGTGCTCTTGGGATGATGTGTTCCTGAAGATGACAGTATTGATGATACAAAAAAGACTATTAAGACTGCACGAGAGGGGACATTATGCAAGTGCTGGTCTGGGGCATGGGCAGGGTTTGGTATTACCTTCAGGGAAGGTTGCATTTCTTTTAACTGTCTTACTCATCACATCTTCCTAGGTGGATTAAGTTTGAAGAAAAAGTGGAGCAGGGTGGGGAACGATGGAGCAAACCCCATGTGGCCACGCTGTCCCTGCACAGTTTGTTCGAGCTGAGGACGTGTATGGAGAAAGGATCCATCATGCTTGACCGGGAGGCATCTTCTCTCCCACAGCTGGTGGGTAAGTATGCCATTTCCGGCTCTTCTTACTGTTCAGGAATGTTCTTTCATGCAGATGTCTACTAGGGTAAGCAGGGTTGAATATTCTCTGTAACGTGTTCTTAGAGTTCTGTGGCATGAAGTGAGTGCTTTATGAAAATTTTGACAAATATTAAGAAAAATAGCATTAAGAAATAATGCCCGTCTCTGTTTATGGTTATTGTTACTATTTTGGAATAGTTTCTTTCAGATTTATTTGCCAGTCTTCTACTTTGTGCTTTTCTTTTATCCTCCATTTTTTATTACAATTAAGATCATGTTCAATACGCATAAACATAGTAACTTTTTTACTTACTAGCATAATTAACATTTTTTGTATATACATATGTGTATGTGAGTTCATATGCATACATGTGGATGGGTGGCTGTGTGTACTTTTGTGCATGCATGTATATGTAGGCCAGAGGTACATGCATGTATGTGTAGGCCAGAGGTACATGCATGTATGTGTAGGCCAGAGGTAAACCTTGGTTTCATTTCTCAGGAGCCAACCCTTGTTTTTTGAGACAGTATCTCTCTTTGGGCTGAGCTCTCTTGAGTAGACGAGGCAGGTTGGCCAGTGAGCCACAGTAACCTACCTGTCTCTATTTCTCCAGGACTGGTATTATACACACATGCCATTCTGCCTGATTTTTTTTTTTTTAAAACATGGGTTCTGAGTATTGAACTCAGGTTCTTATCCTTACATGACAATAACTTGCTTACTGAGCCATTACCTCACCCTAGATTAGTGTTCTGGAAAAAAGAACCCTCTCACCCTCCTATCTTAATTGGCTCTCTGGACACTAGGTTTTTAGAACTCTTTGGCCTGAGATGTTTCACTGAGATTTTCTGCACCTCATTTTTGCTATCTTCAAAACAGAGCTTATGTCTTACGGAGGAATGAAAATCCTCTACTTCCTTGGCTGTTGTGATGGAAGGTGGATGTCAAGTCATTTAGCTGTGTGTAGAGAAATGTTGTGGGGCAGGATGCCAGCAGGACCTTATGGGCTGGTGACTAAGTCAGGTTGCTTTGGCAAAGATTATCATTCTTACCACCAGAGCTTGTGGAGTTTCTCTGCGTGAAATTTTGCCATTTATTCCTTCCACTGAGCGTATGTTTTGCTCTCTATGAAAAAAAAATCTCTGGAAGGCTTTACATATTTATTCTGTGTGATACTGAGTGATTTCACAGCAAGAATGCTGGGATTACAGTGGCAGCTTTTTAAAGTCTTCCTCGGCTAGCACGGATGATCACGGTCGAAACATGTTACTCGCCATTCTTGCTGACTTGGTTTCCTCATAATACTGTGAAAGCAGTATTAAGGTGCACGCCCGAAGTCCCCTTCCTGATGCTATGATAAAATACCCTGATTAAAGCGACTTAGGGGAGAAAGGTTTACTTTCTCGTGATTCTAGGCTGTAGTCCATCATGGCTGGAAAGTCACAAAGGCAGCAGCTTTGGAGACCTGCTCACATTACATCCATCTTTAGGAATGGAGAGGGATACATGGATGCTTGTGCTCAGCTTGCCTTTTTCTTGTCTAGTCCTGGACTCAAATCCACTGAATGGTGCTGTCTGCTTTTAGGCTGGGACTTGCCACATCAGTGAATGTAATAGAAACTGTCTCCTACAGACGTGTCTCTCTACAGGCTAACCTAATCTAGGGAGTCCCTGCTAGCGGTGCCCATCCCAGGTGACTCTAGACTGTGTCACACTGACAATGGAAAGCGACCATCACAGTGGACCTTTCAGGGTTGTTAGGTGAATTAAGTAAGGTCACCAGACACCCTGGGTTCATACTGTCCCCCAATGTAATTAGCTATCTAGATTTTCCTACGTGTCATGTCCTAGACTGCTACTTGAAGTCTGATTTGAATCTGGCAGATAGATGCTTGGGGATTTCATGAGCAGAAGGAAAAACTCCAAAGAGTATGGACTGAAGAGGTGGAAGTAGTAGAAAATTCATTCATTCATTTTTTTATTAATCCATTTGTTTGTTTATTTATTTATATATTTTTTGCTGGCCTTGGAGACGATCAACAGGGTGATGAGTTTCCTTTTCTGCACAGCTGAACTTTTCTGCAAAGCTGTCTTTGTGATTTCCAGCTCCAGACTGAACTACCTTAAAGAGTGTCCGGGCTCTAGCACCTCCTTGACTCTGCGTCCATAGCAGAAGACAGAGTCCCACATTCATTCAGACCCTCTTTACCCAATGACCAAAAAGAGAAGATCTGACATCCACTATATTTAAAGAAGATTAATTGAGCATTTGATGTTCTTGCTTAATATCCCATAACTTTTTATTATTGGCTTCAGACTCTTTTCTAACCTCTATGCATTTCCTTTAAACACTGTCATTTCATGTTAAAATTAGACACCACTAGGTCACTTTGAGGTATCATCACTCCCTAATATGTTTACTTCACAGTCCCTGGGGCAAGGAGGCAGAGTGCCAGTGATAGCATTTTGGCACTGATAATACAAAAAAAAAAGTTTAGAGGCAAACCACACATCATGAGCAAAGGAAAGGAGGAAAAAAAGATTAGCAATACAGAAGAGAAAGCAGAGCTTGCTTAAAAGAATGTCACTCAATAAAGAAATGAAAATCCTCCAACAGAATAAAAACCTATGGAGAATAAAATATAAATAGTGCAAAGCCTTTATTTCATTTTAAATGACGGAAGGCAGCATAGTAATTTGAAGAGTTATAATGATTATTTTGTTATTAGGAAAATCTTTTCCTAGCAGAGGATAAAGTAGAGTTGCATATGCCACTAATTCTCAACTGATAGTTACTTGCTCCTAAATCTCGTGTTGTATTTCTTCCCAATAGCCCAATTTTACTTCAGAAAATGGGAAGAAAAAAGAAATAATAGCAAATGTAATTATACCCAACAAATAGTAGGATGATTTCCAGCCATCTTTGTAGTCTTACTGTTGCTCCTCCTCATCTGCCCCTGAGAGAAAGATCACTGCAGGTCATGGGCAATGGCATGAGGCTAGACAGGGCACGAGCTGTGGTCAGGCGGTATTCTTACACTGAGATAAGCTTATTTCTGATTCTTTTCGGGACCTCTCTGTGCTTTTAATTTTGTGTGTGAGTGTGTGTCTCTGTGTGTGTGGAATCCCTACTGTATTTTAATAGAAAAATTTGTCTTTGAAGCATTACAGAAGACAAGACATAATTTTCAGGGATTATTTTAATAGGTTTATTATTAGCATCACCATTGAAATCCTACATTTAAAGGGTGTCATTCACATATGAAGTCAAGTTCATGGAATTTTCTTCCACTCTTAAGTTAAAAAAACCTGTAATCCATTTTAGGTATTTAACACTATGTGAAATGGATGAGAAAAATATAGCTCTATTTTTGGAGCTCATACATACATACATACATACACCCTGAGCTCTGCAGATGTGTGAGTCCTGATGTTTCTTGCTTTTTTTTTTTTTTAAAAAAAACCCACCATTTATACTTTTAAAATTTATATTTATTGTTCTTTATAATCATAAGATTAGTATATGTTCATTTAAAAATAATTCATAAAAATTTTACTACAAAAATAAAACCTCTAATTTTACCGTAAAAGTAAAACATTTCCTAATCTAATTTTGTGTATCATCTCAACATTTTTTCTATGTAACTCTGTTTATGGACATAAGGTGGAATTATAGCACATCATCGTGTGTGTGTGTGTGTGTGTGTGTGTGTGTGTGTGTGTGTGTGTGTGTGTGTGTGTCTGTGTGTGCTGCATGTGTGTGTGTGAGTATGTGAGTGCATGCACTTGTGTAGACTAGGGGTCGTGTGTCTTCTTCTTCAGTCTTGGTCTTATTGCCTTGAGACAAGCTCCCTCACTGAACCTGAAGATCTCCTTCTCAGATAGGCTGAGTGGCTAGTGAGCTCACAAGGTCCGTCTGTGTCTGTCTTATAACGCTGGGGTTATAGACCTGCACAGTCATGCTAGGTGTTTTACAAGGGTACCAGGACTTGAACTCACATCCTCGTGCGTGCAGAGCAAGCATTCTTATCTGCTCAGCCATCTCTCCAGCCCCGTGGTTCATCGTTTTAATTTATATTTGCTTAAAGATAAAAACATAAATATCGATATTTTCATGTTGTTCTATAAATAAAACATAAAGACTGTAAAATAATCTATTAGGTATTTGGGTGGCCTTTAAGTTTTATTATAAAGAAAAGTGTGTATTTTTGTTAGAGTTTTGCAAAATTGTCTGGTTAGTATAGAGTTCCAGCTGTAGAAGAGTCAAAAGTGTTGAACATATTGAAAGGTTTTGGTGTGGCTAGTTAACACTGTCATCATCAGGGAATATAACATGCATCTTTCACGCTGGGATAGATGATTTTGATAGACCTAACACATGTCTTTATTGGGTATATTCACATAGATTTATTTACATTATCTTTGTTAATTTTGGAGTTAAAAACTATTTATTTGGGCTCGTGTGTCTTTTTTCTGAATGCTTGCTTGTCCTCTCGTCTGTTTTCCGTAGCCTAGGTGCCTTTCTGTTGGTTTGCAAAAGCTCTGCGTGTGTGTGTCGCTTTTTCTCTGCCTAGCGCTTGCTTTAATACACACACACACACACACACACACACACACCCACCCACACACACACACACACACATATTTGACTTTTCTGAGGTAGAGCCTGGCTATGCAGCCCAGGCTCAAGCTAGCTTTGAACTCAACTTTGCGGCTCGTGCTGCCAGGAACTCACAGTCCTTCTGCTTCAGCTTCCCGAGTGTGTTAGCATTGCAGTCATGCCCGAGTGTGCCTGCTGGGCTTACTTTTTAAATACGGACAGTACTGTGTCCGATGGAGAAAGATCTCAGAGGTGCACTGGCAGCTCCGCTTTTAGCAGGGGTTCTTCCTCTAGTGAGTCTGTATGGAGAGGGGCCGTCATTTCTTTCCTCCTCCTTCTCATCTGTGTGACAAGCTGAACTTGGTGCTCCCCAAGGCCTCTTTCAATTGTTATCACCTAGACTTGGCTCATCTTCTCCCAGTTGGTAGTGTCTGTGGGACCTGCGCAACCAAACTCTTTAATTTCAGTGTAGTTGTGAGAGTTACTGCCCCCACTTTCCTTTGAAAGGTTTTTGTAGTGGATGCTTAAAGAGATCCTATTGTGTGGACCATTTTTTATGGATGCTTGATGAAGGGCATAAGCCACATAGTTGTTTTAACCTGTCTAACTAGTGATTCCCAAGCATTAGTAGCAGAGGGTCAGCTGTGCATGCCTATGCATTGAGAAGCCTTGCCACGAAGGCTAGAGAAGAAACGATTTAATCCACAGCCCTAGCATCAGAAGGAGAGTTTGATAACACTTGCGGCAGATCTGTTGGGGACTGCTATTTTTGTGGTTCTTCTGTAAATGGACTTTCCATGTGGAATGGGACTTATAGGGAAAGTTGAGGGTTGTGTCTGGAGGCACTTTGTGACTTAACTGTGGAACAGAGAGCTAATTGTACTTCCAGGGTCATTCTCAGGCTTTTACTGAGTGGGGTTTGTGTGGTTAAAAATGCCCGAAGCTGAAGGCCCCTTTCAAATCCAACGCTCACCAGAGAAACTTCCTGCCTCCTCCAGTCCCTTACCAAGTGGTTCACGTTCTGCACATTTAGGGCCTCTGTGCCGGGCCAATGATGGAAAAGCCTTGATTTAGCCTCTTCGTGGCTTTCAAGTGGCTGGCTGTCCACTCTGTAAATTGATGGCTTCTAGATGTAGACTGTGAGGCCGAATGTTCGCTTTGAAGATGAACCGACAGTACTAGTGCAGAGAGGCGCCAGCAAGGTCCTAGGGACACCTGTACCTTCTCTTCAGTGCAGGATTCCTTAGGATGCTCTGTGGTCCTACCGCCCGCCGATTTTCCTGTCAGACTTTTGCCTAAGAGCAGACTGTGCTCCCTTGTGTACTTCCCTACCCCGAGTAGTTTCCTCAGAGGAAGATAATGCTGTGAAATGCCTCACCTCGCACACCTCATACAGATTCTGCAACGTGTCTCTGTGAGTGGAGGCAGAGGTTAGAATAAGATGCACAGGTTTAATGCATGCTGCAGATGTGCTTGCCTGTGAGGAAGAAGGATTATTTTCTATCAGAAGAAGATTCGGTGCGTGCATGCGTGTGTGCCTCTGTGTGTGTGTGTGTGTGTGTGTGTGTGTGTGTGTGTAGGCCAGAGTTGCTGTTGGGTGTCTTTTTAATTGCTAGCCACCTTCTTTTTTGAGATAACATCTCTTACTAAACCTGTGGTAGACTCCAGGGCTTTGCCTGTTTTCACTACACTCCCTCCTGCATGAGGTTACAGGTGGATAGCACTGCGTGAATGCTGTGGCTCCAGACTCATGCCCTCCTGCTTGCGCAGCCAAGCATTTTACCACCTGAGCCGTCTCCCTAGCCCCCAAAGCCATTCTCTTTTTAAAGTCCAGACAGTAAAGAGTTAATGGAAAGACTAAGATACTTAAACATTTTATAAAAGGCTTAGTCAGACTGTGTTTGAAAACTGTCAGTGGAGTAGGCTGGCAAGGTTTTAGTTGGGGTTGACCAGGAAGATTAAGTCTAACATCCCTGAAAAGACTAGGGTATAATTTCGTAGCTTGATCTTTCCTTCAGTAATTGTTCAAATGGTCTGATATTGGGAAAGGTATTTTAAAGAAAATGTAACAGAAGAACTGAAGAGATAGACTTTAACAATCACTCCTTGTGTTTGTACAACTTCTTTTGTCTCATACCTTTGATACTTCTGATTATGTAATGTAGTGGGAATTCTAATTGATCTTAATAATAAAAACCTGGAGTCAGCTATCAGGGTAAAAGCTGAAAAATCGGAGAAGCAAAGCAGCCGGCCACTAGAGAGACTTCCACCTCTAGGAATCCTCAGACGGAAAGGGCTGAGCTTTTGTCTTCACCCTACCTTATCACTTCCTCTCTCCGCCCAGCCATAATCACTTCCTGTTTCCTCTTCCCAAGTGCTGGAATTAAAGGCGTGTGCCTCCCAAGAACTGGAATCAAAGGCATGAGATCCCAAGTGCTGGGATTAAAGGTGTGTGCCACCACTGCCTGGCCTCTAGTGGTTGCTCTGTATTCTGATCTCCAGGCAAGCTTTATTTGTTAGAGCACAAACAAAATATCACCACAATGTAATGCAGGGCATGAAAATTTTAATCTCACTTTTTTACATTGAAAAATGAAAATGACTAATTATGTTGCTCATAGAAACATTGATTTAGGGGAATATTAAATAACTGGAATATTAAAAAATAAAAAAGAAAATAAGATAGTTCTACCTTTCTAAAGACAATTAATGCTAGAATATTTATAATTCCCTCATTAATGCCAGCATTCTGTCCCTTCATATAAAGTGGGAAGTTGCCTTTTAGAAAGTAATGTATTGATGTTAAATTTGGTGGTGACATCCACAAGGCCAGAGTGAAAATTGGCTTCATGGTTTGGTGTCTGACATTTGCTTCCCTTTGCTTTCATGTCAGAGATGATTGCTGACCACCAGATCGAGACAGGCCTACTGAAGCCAGACCTTAAGGATAAGGTCACATACACTTTGCTCCGGAAACACCGACATCAAACCAAGAAGTCCAACCTTCGGTCCCTGGCTGACATCGGGAGGACCGTGTCCAGTGCAAGCAGGATGTTCACCGCCCCTGACAATGGTAATGCGAAGCCAGCTGGCTGCTGCTTCCTCTTCACGTGTCGCTCGCCTTTACTCCGTCTCTTCGGATCCTTTCTTCCTCCTCTGTATGTGTCTTTTCTCAAGGTCACGGGCCACCGTCATCTCGTGATCCTTTTAATACACTTGGGCAGGTGTGCAGTCTTGCTGGAAAGGTTTCACTGTTGCTGTAGGTTACAAGGCCACAGTGCCTGGCTTCCCCCCCTGTGTGTCTATGCTGATGGACTGAAATAGCTTGTTAAATAACTCTGTGGTGCAACAACTGAGTATTCCAGAGGAATCAGCAAGCTTGCAGGTAATGTTGAGTACCTCAGGGAGTATGTCTTCAACAGGACTTGCAGCAACTAGGAGTATCTAATAAGATATGATAAATGCTTTGAGACAGCATATAACAACATTGTTGCTTGGGGATGGGAGTCTGTGTCTAACCTGTGAGTGCTCATCTTACTAGTACATGCCTCAGTATTGTTTTTACCTCTGGAAAAGGCAGTTGATTTCTTGATAAATAATAATCATATTCAGATGGAAGTATAATTATTCAAAATGGGATATTAATTCATTATACAACAATAGGAAAGGTACTCTGTTCTTGTTACATTTATTGTATTGCATTTACCACAGTTTCTTGCAGAGTGTCTATCTTTGATATCATTCTCATCGTTGGAAATAAATTTCATGTTTGGCTGCAGTCTCAGAAGGGTGAAGCAAGTTTCCATGAAGTGTGGGAAATGACAGTGTGGTGGGCAAAGTCCAGTAAGCATTGGGTTGGCAGAACCAGCTCTAGATTCTATCACCATCGCATCTTCGGAATACCAAGAGAGTGAGGGAGATTGTAACTCCATGGAGTGACCTGTACTTTCATAGTATTATAGAATGTGTTCTCAGGCAAAAGGCAGGTTAAAATGATTGTAGAAAGTGAGTTTGATCCCAGCCACTCCATATCCATAAATGTGAGTATTCTCACTTAATATTAAAAGCCAGTGGTTTGGAGACTGATTACTATAAACAAAATTTCATATTTGTAATCCCAAACTGTCTGTAAAATAATTAAGATATGGATGCTTTCAATAAAATCTATTCAGGAGAGAGAGAGAGAGAGAGAGAGAGAGAGAGAGAGAAACTAATTTAGAATACTTTGCTGTAATTTGGTGCTTCTGCTGTTACTGGGAGCATTGCTGTTGACAGAGATGTCTTTGGTTTTATATGCCCGTTGTTTTTTTTTTGAAGAAAAGATTGTTCAGTGGCTGGCAGTGCCATTGCTTGAGCAGGGTGTTTTAGTTCATCTTACAAGCATTTCATTGTAACCAGCACACATATTTGCAATTATGGCAGTTAAATTTCAGATCTCTCTCTCTCTCTCTTTCTCTTTTTTTTTTTAAATCTCAGGCAATAATCTTCCTCATTTAAAAAAAAAGTGATTCAGAGAGTTAGAGGTTTTGTTTGCTTTAAATCACTGTGTTAACAGTAGTTCATAGAGGTAAGAACATGCACCGTGTTCACATGTTGCATGAGAGGTGGCTGTGGCTGTCAGGATGCACTCTTCCCAGAAGGGTAAGCTGCTTTTTCTTGCTCTAGAGCAGAAACTAGAGACAGACGGGTCTTAGCGGCCTTCCTTTTGGAGGAGCTATTTGGATGTGAAGTACAATGAATGAGCTGAGATTGCTCCTTCTCCAAGTCTTCTTCCTCTCAGTAGATCTCGTCCTTCTGAGGAGGTTGAACTTGCCTTCATCATTCACTCTCATTTGTACAATGCTGTCCACACAGGGCAGACAGCACATGGGAAAAGGCAGGAGCTTCCTTTTTTTTTTTTTTCTTTTTTCTTTTTGGCTCTTCAAATGATCAGCCTACACCCTGAAGCATAGGATATGATTAGTTTGTTTCAAACGTGTTATTATTGGCCTTTGTGTTACCTAACTCTTTAAATATCACAGGCAAGATTTGGCTTTGCGAGATCCTACAGCAGTGAGTTACATGTGCCTCCAAGGTACACGATCATAAATCACGGGATGGCAAGTTTTTGGCTTTCTACGGGTGCTCGTTCCTAACCTGCAAGTTTGCACGGTTACTTTTATGTCTTAGGGCTTAATCACTTAATATACCAAAGAACTATGTAATGTTCTTTGAATAAACATCTAAAGTAAGGAATTATATACCCGTCACTACTCCTTTAATAAACAAGAATCTTAGGTTGACTGTAGCTGGAGCTGGGCTGTAATATTTTTTTTCTCACGAAAAGCCTAGATAAATGTAAATCACCTTAGCCTTAAATATGGAAATCGACCCTGTGACAGAGACTGCTTTGTGTATGCGAGCAGCAGCATGACAGATAGCTGAATGGCGTGAAGATGCTGAAGTCAGGGGTAGTTTTAGTTCCCAGTCATGCCCTAGAGTCAGCTCTCATCTACTCACAAGATCCACCTGTGAGGGGGAGATTCTTCTGCAAGCAGTTCGGCGTATTCAATGACTGTTAATCCCACTAGCATTCAATTAAATAATTATATTAAAAATAATGACAACACGTACTCAAAATGCACGACGTCCTGTTTGTTCTGGGACAGTTTACTATAATCTGTGCACGTGAGGTGATTTCCACCTGTGGGTGAGAGTGTGCAAATACCATAAAATGACTGCTATCATTCGTTGGGTCTGCATCTGGTTCCATCATGCACTGGGTTCTAGCGTTGACTCCACTGGCTTCAAGTAAGCAGCTGAAATCTGTGACAAGGGTGGCGTTCACACTGTAGAGATAAGCAAGTGCTATAAACCAGGACTTGCTTTATTATTGTTCCAGTTGTTTCTAAATTAAAAAAAAAAGATGGAGAAAATACTAATAATGCAAATTAAGCTCAAAGCATGTAATTATTGCATACAGCTTCTAAAACAGTCCCCTTAAGATTGAAAAGATTTTTTTTGGTAGTTAAAAATCCTATTTGATTTAGTAGAGGACTTATTGAAACACCACTGACAAATAATGAAACTTGAAACATGTATTTATTGTTTTGTTTTTGTCTTATTAACATACATAATATTATAATCAAACATTCAGCCTGACTCACATTATGAATTCCTTTCTTCCTTCCTTTGGTTCATTATCATGAACTCATTTTCAATTAGTAAAAAGTTACTTATTTTTTCCTAGCAAAGAATTAGAAAAACAGTGTAGTCCATTTTTTTTGCCTGTAAAATAGAAATAATGAAAAATTCAATGAGATATGTGAGTATTTCGAGTGGTAACTGGCACTTAGTAATCACTCATCTAATGCATTCGGTTATAGGTGAGGTGTTTAAGCACAACTACGCAACATAGACTTCAGAGTAATAGGACTGTCTTCTGGACTATTTGCTTCAGTGGCTTCCTCTTCAGGAAGAAAATCATAGAAATAATTTTTATGTATTTCTTCAGGCTTTTTGGTGAGTGGTGTCAACAGCCGTTGTGTAACAACGGGAGGGGAAGAGGCCGTTTCTCCTCACAGTCCAATCCTTCCTTACTGTTGGTTAAATGGCTATAAGGGGAATCCTGATCCACCTTGGGCATCCAAGGCTATGGACTGTGTCAGGCAGTGAGCAGTTGGGGAAGGTGGTATCCCCAGGCAGGGCAGCTGGCTCCTGGGGCTCACATAGCTTTCCTTAGGTTTTCTGTGGTACCCCAGGGCCTCTTCTATATGTGTAGCGATCCACGACCTACTACTACTTAGCCCACCACTGGGTATCAGCTTCAGTTCACTGCCTTTACTGCCCTCCCCTTTACCCCAGGTATGCAAAACGTAGTCAGAGGGCTCACGCAGCTTGGTGCAGTCTTGGCTTCTGTATCCAGACTCCTCTTTCAAGGGTTTCGAACAGTCAGGAAACTGATATCTAGTTCTTTCCCATGTAGCTGCTTTGGCGTGAGCACAGAAAAGCTTGGGATATTAAAAAGCCGTGTGTTGTTATTACATAGTAGAACCCGGGCAGTGTTCACAGTGCAGAACGATCAGCAGGAAGAAATCATGGTATTTGCTGTTGTTGTTAATAGGAGTTCTAGGATCCAGAGAAGTCGAGGTGGGATTAGTCAGACCCTTATTGCTTTGAATCTGACTTGAGCTCAGGCCCACTTGAGCTACGTGGTGTGAATAATAGATCAGGCTGCCTTGACACTGGGGTGAATTAGACCTGGCTGGGACTACAGCCAGGTTTGGCAGTTTTCTCGGTCCCTTTAGCAATTCTTTGGTATGGGCTTTGGATTCTAATTTTCCCAGTTGTCTTTAGGTGCATTGTTCCACTTCCCACCTTCCTCCAGCATATTATTGAATCCAGGCGTGATCCCTGTAGCAGTAAATAGGGCAAGCACTTCCCTAACCCCCCTCAAAGATTCTGCTCCTCAGAAGTAGGCTTCATGCTTCTCTAGCTCTGAGATGGTCAGGTGGCATCTTTTTTCCTTAGGCATGTATCTCTTTCTGATGAGCATGCCATTCCAGGTGCCTTCTGAATGCAGCTAGCTCCTTCCAAAGCCCAGCAGCACATAGCCATCTGTTTTGTTCTGGACCCTCATTCTCTATGCATTTGCAGAGCACAGATGCATGTCTTGGCCAGAGCTCAACCAAACGACGCTCTTCCCAACCTGATAATAAACAAGGCAATCCATGGAGAGTTGCTAACAAAGTATCTGAATGAAGTCGTCTGCTAATGACAGCGGCTACTGTGGCTGTTCCTGGTAATCTATTTCTAACTCATCCATAAGACACCAGTCTTACTGCTTCTCCCCAGGTCTTCCAGATCTGTCAAGTTCAAACTTCCATCATCCTGTTGTAGCACTTCCTAGTCCATCCTACACTTTATGACAATGAGAAGTTAGGCTTAGGAGTAGAGCACAGTGAATCTTTAGGCCTATTCAAGGTCTATTTCATAACCTTCTTGAGGATATGATGCCATCTCTTCCAAAGGCTTTATTCCAGTGCTCAATCATATTTAGTAGACACATGATTTTGAGAGTTATGTAATCACCTT